CGCGCGCACCGGACACATCGCGCTCTCGCCTGCATTTCGTTCACTCGACGCGCACAATCTCCGCAGAGGGTTGCTCGCGCACCGGACGAATCGCACTCTCGCCTGCATTTCGCGCACTCGACACGCCCGATCTCCGCAGAGGGTTGCGCGCGCACCGGACGCCCGGCACTCTCTCCTGCATTTCGCGCACTCGACACGCACGATCTCCGCAGAGGGTTGCGCGCGGACCGGACGCCCGGCGCTCTCGCCTGCATTTTGCGCACTCGACACGCAGGATCTCCGCAGAGGGTTGCGCGGGCAGCCGGTAAATCGCACTCTCGCCTGCATTTCGCGCACTCGACACGCAGGATCTCCGCAGAGGGTTGCATTTTCGGTTGACGCTGTTCGTCCCACCCTCCGCCTTTAAGAGAGAATTTATAAAGTGGGGAAATGTTTTTCATTAGGACATCTCCCGTGCTAGTTTTCCACTAGTTTTCCATGCTCACACTTGCCTACTCATTGCATGCTTGCATGCTCATTGCATGCTTGCATACTCATTGCATGCTTGCATACTCATTGCATGCTTGCATACTCATTGCATGCTTGCATACTCATCACTTGCATACTTACACTGACACTTGCATAATTACACTTGCATACTTTGACACTTGCATACTTTGCACTTGGATGCTTTCGCTCTTCCACTTACACTAGGGTACGTATAGCGTTCATGTTGTAGTGTTGTAGTGCAAGTGTGGTGGAAGTGTCAGTGTGTAAATGTAAGTGTCGAAGTGTCAGTGTTCAAGGGATTTTCCGGAAGAACCCTTCGCAATGCTTTCGGGAAAAAAAACATATCACCTCAGCTTCACAGAAATCCCTACACCCTACACCCTACACCCGTCCCCACCCCACCCGTCCCCACCTCACCCACCTATCGCCACTCTCCACCAAGCATCAACTCCCACCGCCGCGCAGCCACCACGAAGCCAAAGGCCCCGGCAGCGCTCGCCGCCAAGGCGCCGCTCTTCCCCAAGCGCCCCCGCAGGCGCCGCACGGCCCAGGCCACAGCGCCTGACCGTAGCGGGTGACCCGTTGGACAGGGGGCGGGTGTGAGACAGGTTTTCGCAGGTTCTCTAAGGATCCATCTGGTATTTAAGGAGATGATGTAGAGGGGGTGGTTGGATCATCCAAAACACCACCAGAGGTTGGGTTTAAAGGATCCCTCCCTCCTCTGAAATGGTCGACGTGTTTTTTTGTGCCACTGTAATGATTCAAAGAGGCCAAACTCGGGAGCTGTGTGGCGCAGCCAGCCAGAAGCCTGATGTATGAAATCCACCAGTTGGAGAATGAAATCTCTATATACCCCACGTATACCCAAATGAGTGCGTGTCCATCACCGAAACAGAACCGCCTGTCCACTCGATGTTTACCTCTCCTCCCCGTGGCGTTTGCCAGCTCTGCCACCCAAGCACAGACGGCAAAGACAGACAAGGTCAGCGCGTAGCGCCAACCCTTGAGTTTTTCCATCGTACTTCTTCTCCTGCCCAGGAGCAGCAGGAGCGGTTGAGCAAGATGCAAAGAGGAACCCACCCCAAACCATGGTGTGAATTCCTTTCTTCTACCTTTTCCTCCCCTCTGTGTGAGCCCTCTGCGCTCCGCACCAACGGAAACCCGCCAAAGAGACCTTCGAACTCCCAAGCACACGGCCAAGTGCCTCCAAAAACCCTTCATCTGATCAGACATGCTCCAAGCCAAAACACACGGGAAAAGGCGAGAAAAAAAAACAACAAAAGAGCTAAAACGACCAAACCCCGGATTCACCCCGCTCCACCGACCTCGCGTCGCCACCGAACACCGCTCCTCCGGATCTCCTTGCGCATCCGGTCGATGGTGACCGCTTCCGCCAGGCGTCGCGTCGGACCACCGCGGAGGACCTCGGGCTGTACGGAGGCCGGAGACGGAGTGAGACGGAGACGGGTTGGAAACGGCATAACAGGAACAGGAGGAGTCCTTTTGTGTTCGTGACATGCCAGTGCGGGATGGTTCGGTCATGCAAATCAGAGTGAAGCAACAACCAAACATGATGAAAAAGTAGATGAACATCCATGAGGGGTACCCCAAACTCTGGAAATGTCTTGCTCTGACACGTCAAAAGACGTCAATGATTTGCTGAGCTAGAAGGTTCAGAACCTGCTTGGCACTTGACCTGTCCATCCTGGTTTTTGTTGTTTGGTGTTGTTTGCGCCTCTTCAAAGTGCGTCACCATCGTCGAGTCAAAAAGAGTGGGGAAGGGTCGGCATACGGACGCTGGGACCTACTTTGCACACACTCCCACGGACTGAAGAACGTTGCAGTGGAAAACACCTGCGGGTGTCCCCGTTCGACTCCTTGGTAGAAGGAGAATAGGACCAGTCTACCCTACAAGGCCACGGGGGTCTCCCTGACACACACCCATGTGAAGTACCTCTTTGGGTCTCTGGCATCTTCCCAACGGAGGTTGCCTCCACTTCCGGGCCCCCCGTTAATCTGTACATCGATCTAAGGTCGCCACTGCACCGGCAAAGGAATGCGGCACCAAGGTCTGTACCCTGTACACAGGGCAAACACTTTTCGCGGGGCCCTGACGCTGGAAACAGATGAAAACCGACGAAAACGTTGATGCGCCCGAAAGGTTCAAAACGACGAAAACGCCTGAATTCTCCAAGACACCCAAAAACGAAAAGCTAATGGAAGGGGAACCACTGGTTATTGGTTATTGGGTCAGTTGTGAAACATCTGCTTGCCTCCATCTTTGCCAACATCTGCTTGCCTCCATGCTGGTGTCAGCCGTGCTGGTGCCCAGGCCATGCCGCCTGACGAGGCCATGCCATGGATGAAAAGCCCTCAGGGAAGGATCAAGGTGTCAAGGCTCAACCTACAAGTCACAAACTCGCTGAACACCTCCAGTATCCCATCGACTTTGGTGGGCCAATTCAGCCAATTCTATCAAATCCTATCCCTACGGCACCCTACTCCTTGCTCTCATAGAAGGGAAGGGCGCCTTCCATCATCTTCAAGAGAAGGATAGGGTCTGCAGGCCGGTCAAACTATGGAGTCCTACCAAATGTTCCAGATTTCCTTGGGGGATCGGGTTCCAGCCATTTGACCCACCATGGTGGGTGATAGCCACAGCCCCCCCAAACTTGGAAGGGGCCCTTCCAGCGACGCTTTTGGAGCTCCACGAGCTGAAACATGTCGCAAGCCTCCGAAGCGGCTGGAGCCGACATGCGCCATGGCGGCTCACAAGCACCACGGAGTTCAGGTGGTGGTTGGATGGAACATGCATTCGTCCGGAGTCAGGGGACACCCCTATACTACCCGAATTCCGTGGTGCCGGTAGGTCGCATCTTTCGGTGTTTTGTTTGCGTTGGTGTGGCGAAGGGTGCGAGTGGATGGAAGAAATGAGTGAAGAAAACAAGACATTGTCGACATAGTAGATCCTACTGTGTCCACCATGGTCTCGTGAGAGCTTCTGACCTATAGTCCTATAGTCATTGCGCTAGGATGGACATCGCGTGGCTTCGTTAGGGTACTGTAGGGATTCCCTACCTGCAAGTCTGTTTCACTTCTATCACATCCAAATGAATCAGAATCTAATACACTACCTTTCGTGTGCCACATCAAAGGCTGCCAAGATACCCCAGCAAAGGGATAAAATATGCAAATCCTGTTCGATCTATATAATGCGGAAGAACAGCGAATTGATGACTTGAGCAGTTCCTTTTTTTGGCGCGTGCCTTGGTCAAACTGTTTCACGTCCTGTTTCAAGCAGTCAGGACGTACTAAGACGTATGAGATCGAGGGGCGTACTGCTGACGTCAAAAAAGGTGGAAAAGAACACGTGCAACAAAAGAACAATGGGGACTAGTAAAGCATCTCAACTATTTGACCCAGGTGCTCCTGACACAAGACACAAACCTGTGGAAACGCCTTCACCCAGTTGTTTAGAATATGTTTAAAGTCATTCTTGGGGGGGAGGTTACTCCATCTCTGGCAGTCTTGGCAGCGATCAATCTCAATCTCCCCTTTAATGTACACTCTTGATTCACTTGATGAATCAACCCCAAGACGTAGATTGTACAACCTCTTCATATCAATCAAGAGCTCTTGGTACACTAATGATATCTCACGTAACGAAAGTGTCTAGTGACGCTGGAAGAGCCCGAAACGACTCTTCCAGCTGACCTCCTTCCCCCGCTCGGCCGGCCCGTGTTTCAGGCCCTTTTGGCAGGTCGGCCGCCCAGGTCGCCGGCGAGCCGGCATCACTGTCAGTGAATTCCTGGGAGGTTCAAGCTCTCAAAGTTGATGTCTTCATCCATACATTCAGGAGGAAATAGGCTGTCACTGTGAAACAGAGGACCACGGCCAATTGCCATGGTTTTGCTGGAACCTTCCTGAAACCGCAGTGGGTGACTGTCAGGTTCTATGTGCAAAGGCACACCCAGAAGAGTCTCCCTTCCTGGTGCCAACAGTCATGGCCGCTTTTTGGGTGTGTCTGACAATATGCAACACTGCTGACTCGTGAGAACCAAGCCAAATCCAATGGTTTTGGGGGCGGCATTCTGAGACACACCGCTTCGCCATGTCGAGAACGCTACGGAACGCTACACTCAGCTTTTACTGTGGTGACCAGCTACCAGCGAAGGACCAGGCGCAGTCGGTTGCATTTCTCCACCTGAGGCGGAAGAAAACCACTGAGCTGGTGAGGCGGAAGAAACCGCGGTCCGCGGTCCCAGAAGGACAGGCAGGTCTGTGTGGGTGAGCCTGTCATGTTCGCATTGAAGAATCATGAACTACCCGGAGTTCAGAAGAACACTGGGCGCCGAATCATGAACTACCCGGCACCAATGTCTACCACATTCGTTCACCAAATCTACCAATTGGAAACCCCATCCGTCCGACATGTGCTTCGTTCGCCCAGCTAGTGTGTGTTTGGGCCAAGACGGGTGATGTGAGTCCGGACGCACCGAAGCCCCACACTGAGCCGCCGCACCCAAAAGCCGCGCCAAAGCCCGTACTCCGGATCGTGGTATTTCGGCTCCACCTGGCCGAAGCCGGTTCGCCCCGGTCGCTCCGGTGCGAAGCGGCTTCGGAACTCAGCCGAAACAGAAGGGACTGGTGGTTTCAGACTTGTTGAACTGAGCTCAGTTCTTCAGGTCGTGATGGCTTGCGTCAGTCTGTCACCTGACTTCGATATATCTTCCAGGTAGCAATGGGTGTCTTGGCTGGACTACCCTGCACTAGTTAACGGGATCTCCAGACAGGACACCCAGACAGGATGGTCCAGGTATGTTCCATGTATTTCAAAACCCCCCCCACACACACCACTCCGAGACCCCGCGATGTTTCTGCCCATCATCGCCCATCGCCCGCCGCCAAGGCGTCTTCCGTCGGGCATCGTCGACTCGACGCCCGGTGGCCCCGGTGGCCTGGAACCCATCGGTGGCCAGGTGCGCGCACAACATGGCTCCCACCTCCTGCGACGCGCCGCGGGGGTCGAGGCGAACCTGCCACGGTGCGGGGGTGCCATGGGGGGTGGCCACGGGGTGCCACGCCGTGGCGCGGGTGTCACCGGGTCGAGGATTCGACGTCTGGGTCCATCCCCATAGGTCCCTAAAGGGTTCAACCATATCTGTGTGGGGGGGTGACAGGGGTGTAGAGGAGAGTAGACAGGCAGCTTCTCCATGAGGCTTCGACAAGGAAGAATACGTGGTCTTTGGGCCTGCTTCTTCAACCCAAAAACTGTCTGCTTTTACGACTCGCGGCGGAGGCAGTGGACTTGACGACCGACCCGGGCACGTCCTTGGTGTGCTGCGGCTCTGACGCCACCACCTCAAACAAGGCCTCGTCTCGGTTCCAAGGTGCGCTCGTCTGGTCTCCCTTCTTTCTCTTGGTCTAGCGCCGTCTCGTTTGGTCTGGCGTGGCCACCGGGAAAAGAGGCCAAGTTGGGGGTCTGTCTATGTCTTGTTTGCATGTATTGTTCGTTTTGAGGACCAGCACTTTGCTTGGTGAAAAATGGTGCAAACCCCCATCCCCATCCCAAATCAACCGTAGTTCTGGATGCTGCCGCACATGAGTTTTGAAGAGGCTGGTCTGATCCGCTCGCATTCCTTGTGCCTGCAGTGCGGCGTCATCTGTGGGGATTTCGGTGTAGCAGGCCACGCAGCCAGCTTCAGCTGCTTGCATCACTGCGGGGTGGACATACCTGCACTGCGGGTGCTGGAAGACTGCACTTTGCGTCCGACGAGCGGATCCAAAACGAGTCTGTCCGGAGCATCGCTGCGTTCGAAACGCTTGGTAGGCATCTGCACCATGACTCTCCCTGCCGAGATGTCAAGTTTAAACAAGCTGGAACTTTGTCATATCTTGCAGGTGGCCTTCCCTGCCCCAAAGCACAACTTCAATAGATGTTGTTCATACTTAGCAGAGTAGTGACCGAGTCAAATGGGACTGGAACGATGCCCGTTGGTCTCGTGTCTGTTAAACCAATTGTGTTCACCCACCAAGCTGCCCCAAAGCATGGAACACACCCAGGGGGTTCGGCAGGAAGTGTTCGCTGTGTCTTTCTGGCTGTGAACAGGCCGAGGAAATGTTCCTGAAAGCAGGTTCACGCGGTTCCTCCGGAAGGACCGGCGTGAACCTGAAAGAGAAACACAAACACTTCAACATAGCAAGATGGAAAACAACCACCACCTAAGCTACGACGAAAGCCCGCGAGTTTTCTCAGCCGTGGTCTTCGAATTCACTGGTCCCTTCGATACCCATGGCCCTGGCCTGGCCACCAAGGCCGCCAACGCAGACTGCCGCAGCAAGCCCTGCGGCATACGGGGCTCGGCGCCATGGGGCCAGCGAGAATAGAGGGTGACCAAATTCCTTTGGGCATTCCCACCAGAGTCTTTAACTTTGCTTCAACACCAAAAAGAACATGTAAGACATCAACACATAAAATGTTCATCCCATGTCCACGTCCGCTCGTCTGTGAGACCAAAAAGAACACGCAAAGACGGTCCTTGCCGCCGTCGGGTCCAAACGCCCTGCCTCACTGCGCTTCAGCTGCCGCTGCGCACATTCGGCGATGACCTTGGCACGTGCCTCAGCGCAGAGTCTCCGCGCGTTGCGCACGGGGAGACGGACTCGACGCGCAACGCGTGAGTGTTAGTGAATTTCTTACCATTCCCGGGTATTTATTAGAGGCAACCTGGTAGGGCGCCTGCCAAAACAAAAGGGAAGGAGGCCCCAATGGCCAGCAAAACTGAGACTTCCCCAAGCAACAATGACAATCGAATCAACCGAGACGTCAGTGTCTCCCCTCTCCAAGCCGCACTCCTTCTTTTCTCAGTCATAGACTGGCAAGCTGGGGGTATGAGGCCCACGGATCTGTGTTGCACAGATCACCAACATGGCCAAGACAGAATATCAGTAATGGAGTGCAATAACACCCCCCTGGTTTAAGGGAGGCGGGCGGGGCAAAAATCCAACAACCGCAGTGCCACCACTGGAGAACAAGCCACATCACAGAAATGCACTGCGGTATAAAGTAGAACACGCACGTTGTCCAAAACAAGATGCATGAATGCATGAACAAAATGGGCTCCAATTTCCCTATTCCAAAATAAGAAGAGGGACACAACCTGAACCCAAACAAACAGAGCAAAGGACCGAAGTCAGAACCCAAAGGCCCAGAGGTTCAGCAACCCACCAAAGGAAAAGCAGGTGATACTAAACCCCGGTCCAAACATCTTCAGACCTGGGGAATGTTCTCAACACAGGCGCCTACAATAAAGCAACATCAACAAGTTGAGGTAAGCGATCCCCTACCATTCATAGATGAAGATACATCAAGCATGTTGTTTGTACCGCAGCTGGTGGCTGGCGGCAGATTTCACATTCCGGACCTCTAGCAGCGCATACTCCGGACTGTGCGCAACAGGATGGGGACGCAGGGGATGATTGATAGAAACTGCAAGAACAAGCACACTGATGATAGAAACAATCCCAACCTAGAACCCGTCTACTTTGGACCACCAACCAACCACCCAAAACATGATCTGCTCCTATCCAAAAAGTGTTGGTGCATCTTACAAGAGCTTACTACTACTATCCACCCACCCACCCACCCACCCACCCACCCACCGACCTACCTACCTACCTACCTACCTAACTACCTCCCTCCCTCCCTCCCTCCGACCTACCTACCTACCTACCTACCTACCTACCTACTACTACTCACTTCTAGGACCTCGGAAGTATATTATAATATAATATATATATATTATATACATCTACATACTGTAGATTCAAAGGCGGTGTACGTTGATGTGTTCTTCGTTTGATCACAAAAGGGTGATCTGGAATTGGCCTCTGTTTTTGGTCCTTGCGTCGGTGGAGCTTCCACCCGTCCCAGGGGTCCCACGAGCTTCCCAGTGACCTGAGATCCCAGTGGCTGAGGTCACGAAACGGCCTTGAAGAGGTATCCTACAAATCCTGAAGCTCGGCCAAAGAGAGAAGGGTCCTGGTAAGCATTGTCTGGTGATCATGTTTCTCATCATAGTTGCCTGCTCGGTTTGGACATCAGTACATATACAATTCTATCTTTTCGGGGAAGAAAAAATGGGGATCTACTCTACACACTCCAAAAAGGCAACGACGGCCCTGAGGACGGCCCTAAATCAGGGCCAGGAGGCAGCCGTGATCGGGCCCCAGACGTACTTCCCACCCAGATAGCCTGAGACGCTCGAGTTCGGAAACCAGACGAAAACCTCACTTACCGAAGACCCAAAATGGCAAAGACCGGGCTTCCCGGCTTCCCATATCTGATACTCACCTGCCTATGTATATATATATATATATACAGACTGCAAGTGGAAAAAAAACTGAGCCCAAACTGCCAAAGTAAGCCCAGGAAGCCGAGCGGAAATGCTTCAAAACTCCGGCCAAGCCAACTTCAGGGATCACACAACCAGAAATGGATATGGGGAGAAGGACTGAAACCACCCGTATGTTTTCCTCTTTTTCTGAAAGACTTGACATGAGACTTCAACTTTAGGAGCCCAACCCTCCTCCCTTCCACCGCGGAGCTGTCAATGCAATCCTTCACCTCGAAGGGCAAGACCACACTAAATCCGCCCAGCTTCTGCGTGCCCACGCGGCGCACGCACAAGAGCCAGGTGTAGAGCTGCGCCCGCCGCATCTCGCGAACGGTCGCCTGCGCTAGCCGCTAGAGCTGCGGAAGGTCCACCGGCGTCCACCAGGTGGGCGGCGCACGTGATGGGACACTCGTTCTTGGGACATACAAACTGTGCTGCTTCGGTGCAAGAATTCGAGCCTTCCTTTATATCCTTGAGAAAAAGCATGTGTTAAGTAAGCCTCAAGAGAATTGGAATACGTTACTACTTCCAAAGAGTCTTTAAATCAATTAATGCAGTTTTGGGATACCGGCCGGCATGTTCCAATGAGATACACCGTTATCATCCGTTCTCAAGAAAACGCCAACAAACCCAACACGGTAGCCCGTTTCGACAACTTTGCAACATTAGGTCATGAGGATACCCTGCACTGCTCTTCACGGGCAAAGTCCGCTAAGTTCTCCTCACAAGTAGGATCCTGGAAGGGCTCACCAAACCAGGGGTTGGTGAGTTGGTTGATTGCTTGTGGTGCCAAACCGTTTGGGGACCCGGCTCGGAACGATTCCAAACGGATCACGGACGACCGCCAGGTGCGACGCTGCGCCTCATCCGCCAGGTGCGACGCTGCGCAGAGCCACTTTTTGAAGTCGTTGAGCGAGGCATGGGGTCCGCTGTGGCAGAAGCGCCGCTGTGCTTCCTGGCGTGGCACGTTCCGCACGTCGTGGCGCGTTCGGCACGCCGCAGGTTCAAGGCGTGGAAGGGGTGGAAGGGGTCCGAGATGGGGATCAAATGGGGTCGATTGAGAAGGGAAGGGGATCAAATGTGGAGAGAGATCATAGCACAACTGTCTTTCCGCTGACCATTCTCTTCTTTACCTTGCCCGTTGGAATATCCTGCAAGAAATCTAAGATCGTGTCCAAGTGAGCCAACGCAGCCAACGGCTCACCATGGCCAATCAACCGTCCCAGCTCCGCTCGTGTCCGCTCGTGTCCGCTCGTGTCCGCGCGACGTGTCGTTTCCTGCAGAAGCCGCTCTTCATGCCGGCGCTCCAGATCGGTGAGCCAGCCTTGAAAAGACTCCTTAGGGCGTCACTTGGGTCCACGTCGTGGTAGTTAGGAGGAAGAAGGTCTAGAAGACTTCTGGGACCTGTGGATCAAATGGTTCAAACTCCTTAGGTCGTCTATCTCAACTACAGCGATGGCCCCATGATCACTGAGCTCGAGGATGCGATTGGCGGCCGCCCAACAGTGGCAAATGAGTGTGGTGCGAATTCTGCGAATTTGGAGAGAAGTGCACGTTCACCTTCCTCAGCTGAAAACCAAAAAGGGATTTGATTGTTCCAATTGGTCTCAGACCTTTGACTGATCACCTCTCCCGGCCACATTCACCTCTCCCAGCCACATTCACCTCTCCCAGCCATTCACCTCTCCCAGCCGTTTCTTCACCTCTCCCAGCCACACTGGGCCCTCGCATGCTGGTGGCCGCGGCCGCCGGGCCCAGGTTCGCCGAGAGGAGCTCCACGCGGCCGTGTGGGACCGGGCCAATGGCCGCCATGATGGGCATCCTGCAGCCGCGGTCGGAGTGGCAGGCGCCGCCGGTGGTTCGCACCGCGAGGGCTTCCGTGCACGTCTATTTGGGGGTGGTGTTTGAGGACGGTGGGTTGAAGGGGGTGAAGAGCGCAAGTGGCCAAAATGGCAGACATCCTTCAGAATGATATAGATGCGGAGATGGTGCCTTGCGCGTGGTGGGATCCGAGCCTGGAGCCTTTTTTGGCCGTTTCTGGGCGTTCTTTTCTGATCGAACCAAAGGTTCCTCCTTATTCCACCATCGCTGAAGTTGCTACTTCCTTGGGGGGGTTGAAGGAGAATGTCTCTTCGAAATCGAAACAAAGATCTGTAAGTAGCCCGAAATGAAAGCTTGGTGCTATGCTTTGAGCAGAAAATGCCCCTATGCTTCGCATATGATCCTGACCCGCCCAAGAGCGGGGAATTCACAGGCTCTATCAGGCGGAGATCCGGGGCTTGACACCGACCGGGTCCTCGTTGGAGGCATCTCCACTGCCATCTGCTGAGTGTGTAGCAAAGGAGCTGGTGCAGTTCGATCTGGCAAGGGTCGAAGATGACGAAAGAGCCGGTTTTAGCCTGTCTTGCCCCATGGAGGGCATGCCCACGGTGGCACCATCTGGCTGGGGCTTCATGGTCGAGCTGCTGGTGGGTGTGTGAAGACACACACCCACCAGCATGTGGACGTAGCTTGGTGAAAGATGTGTACATCAGAAAAGAATGGCTTTGTATCAGAGCACGGCCAAGATCTGTGGTTCCAAGCGGTTGCAATGGGTTGGTCTGGACTTATGTGCCGTTCCCATTGAGTCCCCTTCTACAGGCACATCTTTCTTCGTCGCAAGATGATCCCAAAGGAAACATTCTCCGCAAGCGGTTTCGCCGAAAAAAGCACCGATGATTCGGCCAATGATACCTTCCTTTTCTGGCACATCCAGTTCATCGTCCACCAACCCTTAGAAGGGGTCACCATGGCGCCGTCTCGCTCGCTCGACCGGACTCCTCGGCCGTCCTGGCGCTTGGGCGCGCCCTTCCCATCCCCGACCGCCTCCATGGGCGTGAGACTCCGTGTGGAATCGAGCTTCGAAGATGTGCTCCCATGGGGAACGTTCCTGCGAAGCGTGGCGCAGTCTTGCGAAGAACGAGGCGGCCGAAGGCGGCCGGCGGGCGAGTCTGGCAGTCTGTGACCTGCGGTCGCTGGCCAGTGGATGGAATGAGGGAAGTTTTTCGGTGCCCAAGAGTTGCTATAGTCTTCACCTTCGTGCCACGTGGCACGCAAGGGATGTGATTTTGCTTCGTGCCACGTGGCACGCAAGGGATGTGATTTTGTGAACGGGGGATGCATGCAACACAAGCACTGCTACCTGCTTCGAGTCACGGCGCCTTCAGCTCAGTCTACGGCGTCTCAGCTCAGTCTACGGCAAGGCAAGGCCATCAGCTCAGGACGTTTGGGGGAAGCATCCCATCAACGCTTGGTATGGTCTGGGATCGGTGGGACATGCCACAGTGGCTGGGATCTGTCAAACTAGCTAGTAATGAGTCCTCAAAGAGGCTGCCTCCATTCCCCTGAAATTCGGAGAGGATTCTCAGGGTGGGTCTTCCCATACCATGACCGATAGGCAGAAAAGCCATTCCAAACAGAGCACTCGCATCTGAGTTACTCATAGTTCTGCCAGCAGTTTACCCCACTGAGAAAACAGGTTCTCATCGTTGAACTGTCGATAGACCGCGAAACCCGTCCTGTAGCACCGCCTCAGATCCAGCGCCCTGGCCGTCCATGAGTGGGGCAGAGATAGAACCTCCAGGAGCTACAAGTACTGTAATTCACACGTCTAACTCCTCAAAATCTCCCAGTATAAGGATGTATATACACACTAGCTAGGGTTCCCACGATGTCTCCACTGAGGTTTCTGTGGAAATCGGCCACCGAACGGTCGATCACATCACTCCGTGAACGGTGCCACCGAGCTGTCAAGAAAAAACCGGTGGATTGCGTGAGCCCGTCGAGCCAGTCTCCAGATACAAATGTGATGCGGGATGTGACTGTGTTTTTTTGTCATTTGTGATGTGTATAGCTATAGAGAGAGGTTTTCAAACTCCTAGTTCACTGAAAAGTCAACACTTGAGGATCTTCATCAGCTTCGAAATTCCTCCATGCTTTCGTGCTGTCGCGTCGCCTGTCGCGGGGGCGCCGGGATCGATCCCGCGGCGGGATCGATCGGGTCGGGGTAGCCCTCCTGCCGTGGAGAGGACTCGTCGGACGAGTAGGGCGAGCGACTTGGTGATCTGTTTATTTTGCATAGGGGCGATGTAAAGATGCATGGAGTCGGGCGAAAGATCTCTGCAACAAAAGGAGTCATGGAAGAACTTAACATGTTTACGAACCCAAATACATAGTAAAATGTTTAAAAACATAAGGTTATATAATATTTCAAACCAAAAGCGGCATGTCGACTCATGTTGGTGTTCTTTTCTTGCAAGCCTGAAGATGTAAACAGAATCATCTGCTGAGGGATGTTCACAAATTTAGAGGTATTCTCTATATTCAACTCCAGAACTCCCCCCATTGACCTATCCATCACAGGATCCAGTTTGCACAACAACGAGGGAATCCAGCTGACCACACGGCTCCAAAAAACCAGACGCCAAAGCGCAAAGCATTTGCTGGTACGAACTGGACTACAGTTGACCAGGTCGTTCCTCCTGCGGACGACCGCCATCTACATCCCAAATCCATCAACGAACATGTTCTCAACCCATATCGACGGCTCTTTTAATTGTGTGATATTAAGTGCTATGTCAAAGGAAGATGGCAAATGACGGCCTGTCACTGTGCTACAGTTTCTCCATCTTCCGTGCCCAACTCCCTGAGAGTCCGGAGAGTAGGCATAGTATCTCGGCTGCTCCTGCAGGACACTACAGGAACCCAGGGCAACACATGTTGTGGTATTCACTTGTATTTGAAAAAGTATATTTCAATTGTATTTCAATTAAAAGGGAAAAACAAATTATATAAGGAAAAAGGAAAAAAAATCCTAAAATGTGTTTTCTTTTTCGTTTTCACAAGATCTCCCCCACGAGGTGGCTCGCTTCAGACCCACCGAGCCTCACATGGTGGTTCCCGTGGATGGTTATGGTCCCGAAAGGAAGACCACTCAAACCACTGGTCCCAACGTGTGGGGTTTTCCACTTCGAACGTGAGTCCCTTCGTGTGCCCCTTCAGTTCGCCCATGATGTGGGCTGAACATGCCTTGAATGGACATAGAGGATGCATGACATGAACATAGAGGATGCTTTCCCTGCAGAGGAACAATTCGAAAAAGGGAAGAACCGATCGACCGACGAATCGAAATCCAGGAACGTCCCTGATTAGTGCCACAATCTATGCCATCTATGTCCTGGAAAAATGGGGGAGGCCCAGCGGGTCATCCGCTGGGTTGAGCCAAGTGTACCGTGTCAACTTTCAGTGTTCTCCATGTCACGAGGCATTCCTCACGCCCCGTGAGACAGCGGGGGGCCCAAGCCGCGCCCTTCGCTGGAGCACGGACACCACTTCTTGATGCGGTTTGCACGGCCGCATCTGACGCTCTGACTGCATCACCGTCTGTTCGTGGGCCCAGTTTCACCCATCACCGTCTGCCAACTATCTGGTCACCAGTTTCATCGACTCTGGAACTGGGCAATGGTTATCTCAGGCAAAAGCGAGAAAATGGTTGCATTTCTCCCATTCATCTCCTGGAAGTCTCATCACAGCTGGGCTGTCGGCTGGTCCTTCCTACCGACTTTGGTTTGAGCAACATGGCTTGAGCCTTCCGTTCCATTCTACAGTCTCTCCGCTGATGGCTTCAGTCCCACAAAACGCTGGTTGTGCCAGATTCAACCTACTGTCCACCCCGGATTCACCTTCTTTTTCATGATGAGGAGTCGACCACTCCCTCAGGAACCAGTCCATCAAACACCCACCATCAAACACGCCGGACACCGAAACCAAAAAGAAATGGACACGGAACATCAGAACTCCTCCTCCGTCCAGCCAGCGGCCAAGGCAGCACCAGCTTCCATGGCGCTCCGTCTTCTTGGCTCGTTCGTCCCGCGGTCACGGTCGCGGGGAAGCCGCGGGTGGCGAAGAACTGCGGACGTGGTGAGTTGGCGAATGAGTTGTGACACAGGATTGCGAAGGGAGCAGGTTCTGCTCCATTGTGTGTGACATTGTTGTAAAACAGTCAGGAAATCAAAGTAGGACTAAAGGAATGGCCTCTGTTGAATCAACCAACCAAGCTCACAAATAGTATTTATATATTATATATATATATGTTGCCAGCATGGCAATAGGTATGTTATATGCTCTGTGGATCTCTTGAGAAAATTGCAAGCAAAAGGCATGGCGCACTGACTCCTAGATCTGAACCTGTGTTCCTTCAATCACCACCGCCTCAGCCAATCACTCTTTCCAATCTTTCAGGAGAGGCCTCCGCAACTTTCAGGGAATACATCTCCTAGAGATCAACTTCCTGGATCTCAAAATGTGGGTAAACCATGGTAAACCATGGTAAACCTCCTCGAACCAGGGCTTTCATGAACCATGTGCTTCTCTTCCCCCCAAACCCCGAAACCACCAGGACCACCCCGGCCCGAAACGGCGCCCCTTTTCTTCGGCGCCCCTTCTCGGGAAGCGAAGGCCGTGCTCCACGGCGCACGGTGCCCACGTCGCGCGGAGCGCCGAGCACGGAACGAGACTCCGAGACACCGACGGCAGCTCCTTACTGAGCCCATCCGGGGCGACTGAGCGGTGATGGGCGAAACGTCGGAGGAGCTCAGCCCTCCCAGGATGAGCCCGAACTGTGCCAAACACATTAGACACATCCAACGCTTTGATTGCGTCTCAGAGCTGTGATCTTCGGCGGTTCCCCAGGTGGTCCTGCACCGCCAAAAGCGCCAAAAGGAAAAAAGAGATATCAACGAGGCACCCAATGATGGATATGATGGCAGAAACCAATGTTATATGTTTTTGTAATTGAAAGCCCATTTCATAATGGATGTGATGGCAGAAGCCAAATACACACGGCCAGGCACCCATCCCACTGACGAAGATGCCAAGACCATTGACCCTATGACCACTGACGTGTCCTATTTCAGTTGGATTGCCCGATGTCCATCAAGGATGCGCATCAACCAGTTTCGATTTACTGGAAGGTACGATACGGTGCAGTATATATTTTGATGATGTGACGTCGTGAAACAAGTGATGCGACATCGAAACAGGAATTCTCATGACCCTACACATGTTTAAGGGAGAATGTCTTTCAAAGCAGCTGTTACTGTCGAAATGTCTATGCGTTCCTGTGTTGCATACGATCAAAAAGCATCTCTCCACACCCCGGAAACCGGTCTCCGTTGTACCCGGCGTTCATGTGCGCCGAGAACCTGACACCGCGCCCCGCGTGTTGCGCGCGGCGGTCGACGGAGACGGACCTACACGTCCGAAAAATGGATGTGGAAAACCACCTGTTTGTAGTGGATTTCATGGTCTTCCTTTCGGGGCCATTCTCCACTTCCATGTTAGTTCCAGGGAGTGTAAACCGTCCATTCCTGGCAGTCTCAGCCTGGAGACCTGGAGCCCGGGGATTGGTGACGAAAGCTAGCAGGGTGGAAAAATGCGAGGAGAGTGAGACAAAGGTGAAGATGAAGTGAAAAGAGAATGAACAAGAGGAAGTGAGAAAAAACGTCGCAAGAATGAAGTGAAGCAAAATGGTCCCAATCTGCAGATGCTCTCGAGGTGCGTATGTGTCGTGATGCTGTCAGAGGCATGACGACGGGAAAACGGGACATGTCCCAGGGGCGTCCCAGAGGGGGGGGTTGAACGCACATGGGGGGGCAGGTCATTGCATCCCCCAGCCAATAACTTGCCAAAACTCTTAAGAGTAACTCCAGCTAGCTGACACTAGCTTTCGTGCTTTTTTTGCCCCCTGGAACCCAAACACTTTGATTTCTCAAGTCCGTTCTTGTTCGGGACGAAGTCACCGAAGTCAGTCAGGGCCGTCACGTCTTCGTTTCGTCGGGCAGCTCCAGCGCCAAGAGTAGCAGCAGCAAACGCCAGGACCTGGATCGGCCCAGGCGCCCCCGAGCACGATAAACACACACCGCGGCGGGGCGCCCGCTACTTCTACGTAGCCACCCGCGGGGGACCCCAGAATCATCTGGAAATGGGATCGGTTCGCATACACAAACCGTGCATCCTCTACTGACTGGTTTTCGGGTAGGTCGGTGTAGGTGTAGGTCCAGGGTCCCAGTTCACCTGCCAGTCCGGACTTCTCCGGGATAGCCTTTCGGTGAGTTGAAGTGATTTCACCGTCACCCAAAGATTCCTGAAAAAGAAGGGAGCCAAGATTAAAAGATCTTCTGAACTTCCAATTTGGATGCAGGTACCTCATTGAAGGACCATCATAGCAAGTTCCTGCAAGTTCGCAAAATCAATACCCCTCGGAGCTTCAATCTTAAATGTGTATATGTATATAACCACTGGCTCACCCGACCAGGTCACCCAAAGGCCACCCTCCGGGCTCGGCTCGCCACCCTCTGGACAGAAGCCACAGGACCGCAAGAACCATCAGGACCTGCGCCTCACACGGCCGTGCGGCCGCGCGGCCGTGCTGTCACCACTGATGCCGTGAGGAACGTCTCTGATGCCGTGCCGTCACGGTCCGAGGACCCCGTTTGTAGCGTCCTTTGCTCCGTTCGTAGCGATGCGCCCCGATCGGTAGCGTCCTTGTTCCTAGCTGTTGGAGAAGCTAAGCTGGTTTCGATCGAGCAAGTGGTGGCGTTCTTGGGACCAAGGGACCGGTTCTGCAAAACCGCTTCAAAGGCGAACTGAGCAAATATGACAAGCGACACGGATCGGCACCAAAACTGAATCTGAAAGAATATTTATGTTACATGTTATATATGTATATATGTGTCAATATAAGCAATAGATGGTTGTCCAACAGTTCTACTACTTTTCTTTCCTGCTTCCATGCTTTAGAAAACAGATTCCGTGGTTCATAGTTCAAGTGTCCAAGGTTAAGCGATGCACTACTTTGCTCCCCAACATCGGCAAGACGTACTCCGCCGCGCCCTAAATTCTCCACTTGATGCGCACATGGGCCCTGAGCTGCTGACAGCAGGTGGCAGGGTCCAAAAGACCTTTCGCACCGCACCGTCCATCGGGCGTGAGAGAGGGCGTCGTGAACCGCGCGAGTCGCACGTGACGCGTGTCGAAAAGCAGGAGACTGCTGCTTTGAAAACGGATGGTCCTTCGCTAGTACGACATCTCCATCGACAAACGAAGCCCTCAACATGTTGGGATTCTGCAGATGGGACCCATGGGACATCCTGACGGACATCCGGTGGCCAGGTGGGACTTCCCAGTGATGATTGGGGGAATCCCCACGTAGCGGAAGACCATTCTGAAAAGGACGGACGGACTATGCTTCCGTGTTTCAATCCAATCCTGAGTCAGGAGCGGGCCCACCAGGCTGAGCCATGGCCAGCTACAGATGGGAAAAGGAGTGGAACGCCTGTAACAGAGGTCCATGCAACCTGGACTGGGGCATACTCGGTTCACCCTCCTGTTGTATTCGTGCGTTAGCCTGAACTGTCAATAAAGTTTACAGCAACATCTGGCATGGTTGATCCCCCTAAAGTTCAGTACCTTTCCCAGTCATGTTTCAACTCAGGATCGTGGCTTGAAGAGTCACGATCAGTTTCCATGGCGAAGGAACCATAGAAATGACCCATCCAAAGTGGAACATCGGACAGGCCACTTCTTAACAAAGCTGAAGTTCAGCGGAAATTCACTTTTTACACTCCAAAACTGTCACACTTCTACCACGTGGAAGAGGATCCCAAGGTGTTCAGCAGGATGAACTTGGTCAACCTGTTCTGTCTGAGTTTGACGAAGTGACTTTGGTTGACTTCGGTCGACTGACCATGACCGACCCAGCTAAGTTCGGTGAATCCAAGACATCCCGAGTCGAAAGAAGGGGCCCAGTCGCGAAGAAAAAGAATCGCCGGGGTATGTTACAGAATCGCCGCGAAGTCCGAAGCAATGGGTTTTTGAACTGATGTTGATGTTCTTGTCATGTTGCTTTCAGCTTTCTGAGCCAACGAGATCCACAAAGGTTTGACCAACGTTTTTGGAACGACTCGTGTGTGGTGCCAGGAAGGACTCCTGTGTCCCCCCCCCGCTCAACATTCTACTCACGTCTCGTGTCCTGCACCCCCCCCTGTCCCCGAGGCGAGTCAGTTGCACTGTGCATCACGCTCCTTCGCCCTGTGCATCACGGCAACGCTGGTGGTGGATGGAAGGCCGAACTCTTTTCTGCTCCGATCTCAGCACCGTGGGAAGGGGCGAGGGAGCAAAGGCAATTGCGCCATCCAACAGCTTCTCTGGCTGACGACCAACTGATCCAATTCGGTTCCTTGCGCACTCGCCGTTTTCGCACTCGCTGGAAGTAGCTGGGTTGGACCCTCCCACTCATCAAGACTTGGCGTTGACCATCAAGACTTGGCATTGACTCGTTTGGAAAGAATCGAGTTAAACCACCGTTTGGACCGAGGACGGGAACCCTACGCAGCGCTTGGAACCTCCGCCATGTGGCTCGACTCTCCAATTCAGCTGATCATCAACGGTTCGCTACAAATCCAGGGCTACAGTGGCTACAGGATAAAGTTCAAAACATGGTCTCCACATGCAATGCACATGGTCCATATGCAGAAGTTCACACTTGGTGTGGTTGCTATCCTGTAATCCTCTTCTATGAACTATACACAGGGCCCACCCGAGTCGACAATCGTGTCCACCCCTTTTGGGTGGTCAACAGCCGTTCCTCAGGCGCTTGTGAGCCAAGCGCGTGTGATCATCGCCCTGACCTCCGTCCAGTTCTGCCCGCTCCCGTGGTGCAGTTCTGGGAGCGAGCCCAATTGAGTGAAAGGTGAAACGCGCCAAACTGTGGATGCCATGTTCACGTTGCATGTCCATGTGAAGAAGTGTCCAAGAGGTCGGGTTGGCCACTGGCATGCTTGGCCACCGTTCTGCTGGTGAGAGGCGATCTAGAAACAGGTCAACAAACAACCAGAAAGAATTGGAAGGCCAAGCTCTTTCCCCAATTCTTGGGATACCGGGGAAGGAAACCACATAAATAGAGATGCCGTCTCACCATAGCACAGAGACTGCCCTGTCCTACACTGCATCATGTTCATCATTGACCTGAGTCTCATTGCCCCCTCTGCTCTGCCCCACAGTGCCACTGCAGCTCATCCAGTTCCTGGCTTGCACCACCAATCTAGTTCCCTAGGTTCATGCACCCCCAACCGCGGCCAAGGGGATATATGCACGCGTTTCTGCGACGCGAGTCTCACATGCCCGGCATCGATTGAACATGCTGTTGCTGCTTAGCACTTCTTCTCAGCATCGGACGGATTGAACTGGACCAGCATCAAAGGGGCTGGTCGGTACAATTGCTGCCTCCAAGACTGCAAGATGTTCAAAAGAAAACCCTTCTGATTCTGGTCTCCGTTTTCGATGTTCTGAGTGTCCCTCTTTGTGAAGCTCCTAAATGATCCAAAATGGAATGGGGAGTTACATAAGTCTCAGAATCTTTCCGAAGCCTCCAAGCATCTTGGGTAAGAAGCAGCCTGCTGCACATGTAAAGTTCACAGAACGCCTGCCAAGCTTGACTGAAGGAGCCGTAGCCAGCTTTGAAGAGCTCCCCCGACCTTGCTTCGGGAGCTGCTACATCCAATCTTGGTCACGGAAGCCAGTCGAGCCCAGTGGTAGTAAACTTAGCAAACTACTCAGAAGTAGCTCGGTTGAAACGTCATTTTGAACGAAAATGCTGAAAAACAGCAGGCGCGCAGCTTGCGCCCGTTCGAGTCAGGCCTCTTCTCACATCTGGCCAAGCCAAGTCTGGCAGCCGGGCGACCTCAAATACTTCAATATCCCAATGTCCAAGTCGACACCATCCAGGCCTGGCATGGAGCTCAAAGCGAAGCGATGAGAGTTGGTGCTAGTTAGACTCGAGCTCCTGTTCCAGTGACCCACCATTCATGCACTTGTGTTGTTTGATTTTTCCGGTACAGACTAGCAAAAGGATTTTCCATGTCAGTCTGAAGGGTACAAGTCATTCGCCGAGTTGACGAAACTTAAGAAGGGTCAACGGTCACTTCTTCTGCTGCAAAGCGCAGTCCACAAAGTGGCCAGCCGAGAAGGAGCATGGTTCTCTCGCTGCCTGTGAGATCTTCGGAAAAGCCTGGCCTGGGCACCACGGCAGGGTGACACTCCAAGAAATGAATATGCAGAAATCTCATGTGTGGCTCTTTTTGTTTCTGCATCTCTGAAAGTCTGACGTCTGTCTGTGGCCGGTTCCGGACACTCACGCCCATTAAATTACGGCGCGTAACTCGCTCGTTCATCTGAGGCCCTTCACTTGACAGCACTCGAACCCAAGGACTCGGAATCGGCCTCGGTCACAGCTGTGAGAAGAAACAGACACAGCCGGTCGACCGGTTAGTCTACGGAGTGACTCAGACGGGGTGGCTCAGAGGTGAGAGGAGGGCACCGGCACCCCGTTCGGCCCCGTTCGAGGTCTTTCAGATCAGGGGCCAACCACAGAGCTTGGGGGTCACCTATCAACCAGTCTACTCCCCACAGGGTTGTCGGTGTGGGGAAGCATGGCCTCCATCCGGAGCGCTGGCTATGGGCGGCGAGACCATGTGCACCCACTGCCCTGTTATGGCAGGGGGAGCCCTGCCAAACCGTCGGGTCAAACGGCACCCGTCGCTCGCGTGTGGTCGGGTTCACCCTCCACCCTCCATTGGCCGCAATGGACCCGGCAGCTCCAACCCCCGGCCTCCCCAGGCCGTCCACTTTCCAGCATTGGACCTTGTGTTGAGCGAGTGATCAACCGGCAGTGATCAACGTGGGTCGATTCCGAACATCGATGGGTCCTTTCAGTCTCTCATTGTCATGTTGTCCAGGTCGATGTTTGATGTGGAGTGATGCCTCCTTTTGAATACAAAAAAGATAGACAAAAAGATTCGGAAATCCAATCAGAGTCCTGGGCGCCAATGTGCGTTGACTGCCCTTGCTTAGTAGTTTTGACAGACCAGTGGGTACGCCATGAATGAACCCAGACATAACTGAGGCTCGGAGTGTGGAACAACACACCATGTGTAATTTACAGGTGGGCGTCTTGAGATCTTCAATCCCCTGGATGGGGTATTGGTCATAAACAAAGCACTCGAAATGAGGAACCTAGAGGCTAGAGGGGGCCTCTAGTAGGTTCAATAAGTTTGCTTTCTGTTGGGAGTGTTGGGGTTGACTACACTCCCTGGAACTAACATGGAAGTGGAGAATGGCCCCGAGAGGAAGACCATGAAATCCACAACAAACAGGTGGTTTTCCACTTCCATGTTAGTTCCAGGCAACGTATGTTGACTCATGACACTGCCATTGGGTGGATGAAAGGGAATCGTTTCAGGGAAGAAGCCGAAGGCTCGCTCCTTTGCGAAAGCGCACTCCCGGCACTCGCATAGCTTCCCCAACGTCATAGCTTTCCAACACCAACTTCTCCCCACAACTCAAATGCTTTCCAACTCAAAGTCCTTACACACATCCCCATCTCCAACAGCAACCCCGAGTGGCTGTGGACGGTGTCCAACCACCTCGCGGGTGGGGCGGTCTAGCGGGTGCTTTTCATGAGGGAATACCCCCAATCAACGAAGGGTTCTGTATCAATGATGATTGTACTCTTTCTTCCCTGCAAAGTGGTTGTCCTGATAAGAGTGAAGCTCATCTTCTTTGCATATAATTCTACGGGGCCGCTACCCATAAGTTCCTCCAATTGCTTCAATCAATGGAACCCTCAAGACTTCCCGAAGACCCTCCGAATTCGTCGCCCCCGTGTCGCCCCTCGCGGCACCAGGCGAACTGCTCCATCGGATGGAAACTTACACCACACGCAGTTCATAACCACTTCTGCACCATTTGAGAATTGAAGGCCCCTCTTCTGTCAACAAGAGCGCATCCTTGATCATCTCAATGTGGTTGGAAACTGTCTTCGATTTTCCTTCAGAGTCTTCCACCCTTCATTTCCAGCAGCACCCCCGGATGGGTGTTCTATGCGCCTTGCAGGACTATCCGGCAGAATGTCCTCCTGCAAAGAAATCTCGGCAGATCAAGAAGTCTCCAGGTGGAGCTTGACCCTCATGTCAGATGAAAGCAATGCATCAAAATGGGATTCACCACGAGAAAAAACGCGCCCATAAATTTGAGGGGAAAATAGAACCGTCTGTAAAATCAACGAACCAAACAAATCTGGCCAGTTCCTCCCATTCTGTGTCCCCCCGTTCCGGTGTGGGATTTGGATTCAGCTGACTGCTACGACTCCCGAGAAAGAAGTCTCCTCGCGATCTCCACCGACCTTTGCCAGAGGCTGGTCGTTCTTCGTCGACTGGCACAGGTGAGCAATTTAAGCATGGACACGGGCTATACAAACAAAGTAACCGGTGAATAGCTATTCATGTCAATGTATTTGTATGCCAGAGGAAAGACTTGGAAAACGTTGACTTCACTGTTACTTCACTTCGCGTTGGCTTTGGCAGTTTACGTCGCAACACCTTCGCTGAAAAAAGGGAAAGATCTGCCGTGTCCACAGATGTGGTCAGCAAAATCGCTTGGCGACCGTTCAGATTTCCAATGGATTGGTCAGTCGTAGCGTGGCACTCCTGGCACTCCCTGCCCGGCCGTGCCCGGCCTCTACAACACCATGGTAGAGCGGACACAAGCATTTGTCGAAAGCCTCAAACACTTTTGCAAATCTGTTAAGCGTTTTGTCGAGAATCGGGAGAGCTGCAACCCCGCAGAGAGTTGCAGGGCACGAATCGTGCCTTTCGACCAGTCTTTGTCTTGATTCAAATTCTGGTGTGTGGCCTATTTGGGGGAACACCCACGGTCAGCAATGCTCGAAAAAAGCACCGCGGCTTTTTCTGCATCTGGCGCAGCAAGGGGCATCGATACAGAATGCGGCTGAGGACCTCACATCATTCGTCCAAGTTGTGAAATCTGCAAAGAATGAATGTTTAGCTGCTAGCTCATTAAAGGATTGGGAAGCGGTTTGGACATCCCTTAGCAGGAGGCACGAAACTCGGTGATTTGCACTACTTTTGGGTTTCCTGATGTGGTCACAGATCACCTAACCAAGGGACTCAACAAATTTGGCTTCAAATCCGTGACTCCGAACTCTTCTCGCTCGCCGAAGCTGGGTCACCAGGTCGCCTAAGGCCGGCCCCAGGCGCTTGTTCCGAAGCCTTTGGCATCTCCCAGAAGCCCATGATCAAGTGACTGAGCTTCGGGAAGCCTCCAGAGGGAGAAGACGATGCGATGTGAATCAAGAAGAAACTATACCCCTTATTATTCCTGTTTTTAGGGATGACCCCCCCATTTCACAGAGATACAAGTCAAAGTAAAGGAGTGACCCAGATCGTTCGCACCAAAAAGATCGTCGAGTCTTCTCCGATTCTTCTTTCGGGTCGCCCAATTGACTACCTCTGGCTTCCTTCAGGAGTGATGGTGGCCAATTGACTACCAGTCGAGACTTCCAACCCTGGCTGGTCGCTCGTCGATCGTTTCGCCGTGCCTTCATCGCCCACGCCCTGCAAGAGAGCTGCCAGTGCCGGTGCTTGAGCCAGAGCCTGTCAACGAACCAGGGAAGAAGCCAAGTCACCGAAGCCGAGAAACTGCTCCTAAGGAACCCGACAATCAAAGCCGAGGATGTTGGAGGAAGGCTTGGAAAAGGATTTCCTTATATAGAAGAGAAAGGTTGAGCTGGGCAGTTGGAAGTGTTTCTTTTGCATCTTGGTCTAACAGAAAGGATGTGCTGATGGAGATCTGGAGATCTAGCAAAAATCCGTGAACCATGTCTGCGACAGGGCTGGTTTGCCAACGAGTCATCGCTCCCATATTTGATGATTCCATGACGACTCAGAGCGCGCACTCTCCGAGCCTGATTGCCCTGCAGGTCCAACGCTTGCAAACCGTGACATCGCCTGAATTCATTCAGTTCACTTGGCATGTGTAGAATGAAGCACACCTCATCTCAAGTGTCATGCTTGCCAGCACACAAAAGTGGTATTGTTTAACCCGACATCGTCATATAGGGTATATATTTAGACCGGGGCACCTATGTCATATCTATGTGCGTCGACGCCTACAGATCCGTCAGCTCAGGCCTCATCAGCTCTCCCAAGGCCACCGCGGCGTCAGCGTCCAAGCCACAGTTCTTCAGGCTCAGTTCTTTCACAGGAATGTCGAACTCGCTGCCTGCGAAAGGTTTCGATTTCGGATCCAAAAATCGGTCCGGGAAGATGCATGCCCAAGAGACGAATCGTCTCCAAGTATCAAATGAGGCTATTTAGAAAAGAAATGTCAGAGAAGAATACGGTCAACGGAGGGTCAACGGTGGAGACGGTCAGTCGGTGGAGGCGGCAGGCTTGGTGAAAACCACCGCCAGTACTTGCTTGGAGAACTGGTGCCAATCAGACATTGAAAAAGAAAAAACAACAAAAACATAGGTTGAAGCTGCTGTAGTGAAGTGTAGCTTTGGACCCATTCCGAACAAACCAGCTCGGACCGTGACTCCAAAGACCACCAAAATCGTGGGCCCGTTGACACCCGTTGAGCACCTCGAGCCCAACTCTGAAGGAGATCCCGCAACCCTGCAGCACTGCAGAGCTTTCGGTTCCCCGCCAGGCTGAGGGACTCGAGCTGCACGCACTGCCGCAGGAAACGGCCTGCGAATGGAAGGACCGTCCGGCAGCTTCAGCCGAAGAGCACCCTCCAACAGCCGGAAGTGGACCACCCCCACTCCCCGTTTCTTTCTGAAAAAATCCTCTTCCAAGCGGCCATGGTCCTCTTCCGCAGGAGGGAAGGTAACCCAAAACCATGCGCTCTTGGATTGTTTTCTGTGTGCTCTCCTTGCATATGATGGTTCCAGTTGATCTGAGAAAGACCTTGCACCCGCGCAAAAAAAAAGACCTTTCGAAAGCCCAAAGCCAGTAGTAGGTCAGCGGATCGATCAATGTCTCGACCCCTGCATCCGGACCTTCACGGCAGCGGACCCTGCGGTTTCAGCTGCCGTCACGCGTCACGAGGGCGGGACGGCGCGCGTCACGACGAGATCGCCGTGGGGGGTCGGCAGGTCACCTGAAACACCTCAATCCACAAGATCGACCGGTGTTGGACATACCGGGGACAAGCTTTTCCCCTCCACAACCCAGGACACATGGATGCTACATGGACGTTGGACGACCCCCTTGGGGTGAACACCAGGCAACCCACGGGGCCCGGAACCCGCGCCAAGCGGCCCAGGGGAGCTGCAGCAGACTCGGGGACACCACAACCACCGAAGAGCAGCGTCCTGTGTTTTGCGACGCGCCGGACGAGTGGCCTCTCTCAAGTGGCCAAGTTGGCACCAGACATATTGAGCATAGTGAGATCATCAGCAAAAGTGTGGGGATCCTGCTTTGTAGGTTCATCAACTTCACACAAGAATCATGCTGCTTTCAAGGAGGGTTGAATGGGGGCGAATTCAACAGACACGCTGACATAGCCTGTCCTCAGCGGCAAGCGATGCTCCCTGAGACCCTTCAGAATGCCCTCCAAACCTGCTGGTGTACAAAGCTGCGCATTGCCTGCCAGCTGACGGTTTACATTCCCAGCTGTTTGGGTTCCAATGAGTTAGATTCTATTGTTGCTGTATTTGGGAAACCACTCTCCCAAATACGACAGCCCCGGCTTGAATGAATAAGACCCCGGCAGGCACGCCTTCCAAACGAAGCTCCTCCAAGCGAGAGCAATATCGCAGGAAGACGCCCAAAGCCATCCCTTGTTGCGGAGCCACCGCCCGGGCACCACCTGTGCCGGTTCGTCGGTGCTTGCGGTTCGTCGGTGGCACCAAGTGACCTTTTGGAGTCAAATTGGAGTCAAAGCTGAAGAACGGTCAAAAGAAAAAGCGAGTCAGCTAATCAAATCCAAGCTGACTTGATGCAGCTACAATTTCTAGGTCCTGCAAGTCAGGCAGTGAAGAGTACTTGCTGAGTACTGCGGGGTGGCCACCCGAAAGGGATCGGCTGTTCACATGAGAAGCTCCAGTTCGGATCCTCGCCTGGAGGCAGATGCTGATAGCTGAGATCCAGCTTCAGGATCCTCAGGGCACAAATCAGGAAATGTCACATGAAGGAACATGAAGGAATCATTCTGGAGGAAATTGCAGGATTGTCCAAGAAGTCACACCCTGATTACACCCTGCATCTGTGACTTCTGAATTGTCAGGGCTACTTGGTGAATCAGAAACATCTTGGTTTGGGCATGCCATCTGCAAATGTGACTGGAAGGCCAACACTCATCATCGGGTTTGGTGGTCTCTAAGCCTTGACTTCTAGCTTAGGATGATAATCCCGTTCGCAAAATCCGTAGTACTGTTTGCTTCAGCGCCCTCTGTTTTCAGCAAAGGCTTCAGCCACACAGGCTTCAACTCCCTTAAAGCCGAACACTGTCGGTCAACGGCTCAATGACGAAACCGCTTGCCCAACAACTCGCCACCCCTTCGTTCGTTGTCCAAGCTGCTCGCTAGCGCGGCCCGTTCCGCTCGCTGGCCGCGCCTGCAACAGCTCCACGGCGAAGCGAAGCTCCTGGCGGACGTGGCCGCCAGAGCGAAGGATAAAGGTTTAATCCCGGTTGAAGCACGTCTTGAAGATGACACGCTGGTTGACTAAAATCAAGAGCCCGTGTGACCGACATTGCTGTGTGAGAGAGTGGGGGGCCTTCTGACCCAAGAGGTATGCAACTACCAAACAAAAATACCCTCAACAAAGAAGGTTCCGCCCGTTTTCTTTTGAAGACTGTGGAGTAGACTGCGGCTAGCCGCCACAAACTCCCGAAGAAATGGGTCGTCTGACTGTTGTGCTGGGCAAATGTCAAGTAGGCTGAGTGGTGTGACCGGTAAAAAGCAATGGTGTGGCATGTCAGACCAATGAACAAGCTGCTTTCCTATCAGGTTCTCAGCTGTTGCAAACAAATCCTCCAGCAGCTTAAGGTCTTATATTTGTTGCACTCCCTGAAAGAAATCATGGCTACTACGTGAATCAAATGTCTAGATTAGATGAACCGCAGCATCTGATGGAACAAAGCCGATGAACTCGCGAAGACTGGGCATGTTGGATGTCTTCCAATAGGGAGACTCCAAACCACTCTTCCGATTCGGAACGTTTTCAAGCCAACAAACTGGACCAGCAAAAGTCCCAAAAATCAACGTGGGTGCCAATGTGGTGCCTCAAAGATTGAATCCATCCAACTCCTGCGTTTGGTCTGTGACTTGAACCCAAATCTCTTTTGAAACCCGGACAGTCATTCGTTGCTGCAACCCGAAAAAGAGTCGGGGACTGCCCACATACATGCGTACCCACATACGTACCGCAGCTAGGCTATGCTTCGTTCGCTCTGACCCCGGTTCCACGGAGCTCCTCGAGTCCGAAGCCGGACCGCAGCAGGTCCCCCCGCGCGGTGCGCCGCAGCCGCTGGCACTGCTGGGCCACGAGGGCCCGAAGCCCGGGGCGGCGGTGGACCTGGAACGGACGCGATGGACGACCGAGGCGATCCGAGAAGGGCCCCGGACGTGGCAGCGGGAAAAAGGACCAATCTGGAATGACTTCAGACAGCCAAAAAGAAACACGGTCATTCACCGACAGACAGGGTGAATGAACGTGGCACATTTTGGTCACAGCAGTGATTGGCAACAGTGACATGGCGTGAAAACATCGTTGTCCTGACCAAAAAGGACGCGCGGTATAAGCGTTGTTCAGTGGGAACGAGGCTTATTACGAAGGGCTTTTTGGTGGTTAAAAAGCACTTCGATGTCAAAGCTGAGCACACGAAAAACGCAAAATACATACTCTTTTTTACTTTGTTGCTGTTATTGTTACTCAATTTCAATCATAATCAACATGCATCCAAAAATCAAAGGAGGACAAATACCAAGGCACGAAATCGGCACACGCGGAGTTGACACAGAACGGGGATGCATTGACACACGACACACAGCCATTGTTGGAAGACCGAGGTCACGGCCCACTCAGCCCAGTCGGCCCAGTCGGTTTGCATCATGCGCAGGTGGGGAAACGGCACTTTCTCCGAGTCTTTGGTTTGCACACGCTGATCAAAGGATGTCATTTCTGCCAGTTCAATTTTTGGACGGTGCGTATTCTTTTTGTCGAATTTCGGGAGATGTCAATATGACTGCCATGAAATGGTGCGGATATCTTAGACTTCCGCATGTATATGTGTGTTGCACTTGTGCCGGCTCTTTTCGACGAGGCAAAATAGGATGCGAGGCTGTCCCAAAAAGTATGCGGCCCTAAGCCCAGTTTCTACCAACTCGATCCAGATGTTGTGCACCTATAAAATTGGGGTACACTCCCTGGAACTAACATGGAAGTGGATGGCCTGGCCCCGAAAGGAAGACCATGAAATCCACTACAAGCTGGTGGTGCCATCCACGTAACTCTGTGAACTCCAGGGAGAACTTGCGGTTTTGCCCTGCCCCGGGTCCAGCCTGCTGCAACAGTCGCGACCCCTCGCAACTCCAGCGGCAGGCCAGCTGCAGCGCGCGCCAGTCCAGCGGGTCGGACAGCCAAAGCCGCAGCTGCTGGCGGAAGGGCGGCAACCTGCTTCGATCGCGAAAGGAGCAGGTGAACCTCCAAACGAATGGACTCATGGACTCCCCGAAGAAACCCGGGTCGGTTCGACCTCTCCCTATGGTATGCACGGCGCATGTCGTCCGTTCGATCCGGGTGACCTAACCAAAGGTACGAACAGAGAATGAACCACGCGGTATCTCGAGAAGTAACGGCAGCAACTAATTTACCCAGACCGCGCAACTAAAAAGGGCCCTTGCGGAATCGAGTACCCCGGAAAAATCGCGATTAGCCCTCCAAAAGCGACGAATCTTATCACAGAATCACATCCCGGGCTTTGACCCACAGCCATTTGGGTGCGGATCGTGGAAACCCTTGCCCTTCCAGCCACCCTGGTAGGTCATGTCAGTCACCTCGTAGTCTATTCGGTTCATTTTCTTCAGATGCTTTGATCCTACATACCAACACCCCGGTACCCCTGAAAGGGATCTGGGCCGTTAACGCGACTCATGCGCAAGGGTCGATCGGTGTTTTGACCCACTGCCATTTTTGGACGTCCCGCATACAAACCAACTGGAGAACCGCATGGTGCTTAGAAACGACATCAAGCCAGAAGGAAAGGAACATCCTTCCACGACCCGGGGAAGATCATCTTGCGGGCCTCATCACTGAAAGCAGGGCAACGCAGAGATTCTCTTGAGCTGGCGCGAGCGCGTGGCGCGCAGCAAAACGCGTGCCACTTGGCGCTGTTGGCGCCTCGTGCAGGGATGGGCAGCTGCGTCGGAAGTTCTGCAAAGCTTCCTGGCGCATTTCATCGATTTCATCAGATTCACGGAAAAGGCAGAGTGAAGGCTTCAATGCTCTCAGCTCAAACACCTAAGTAACAAAAACACCGACAGGTTCATCAAAGCGATGCTGGAATGCCTCCCCCCGCCCTGCTTCCTCCAAACCCACCCACTCATGGGCGGCAGTAGCATTGTCTGTCTGCAAGTGCAGGACTTGTAAATGAGGCAAGGCCTCAAAGGGTCCATCGATGAGGGTTCAACGAAACGAAAAACAGCTGCAGCTGGCCTTGGCTACAGGCCTTGGCTACAGCCTTGGCCACAGGCCTTGAGGGGGGACCCTGAGGACCTTGGATTGCTTGGGGGGGCTGGAGGGATTGAAAGGCTCCAGCGCATGAAAGATCCTTGCATATCTGTAGCCCATGGCATAACTACAAGATGTGCATGCAGAACAAGATCTATCTGTAGCCCATGAAAGGCAAAATGCCTTCCGAGCCCTTGAGACCTCTTCACTTCGTTTCCAAAGAAAATGGTCGTCAGTCGTTACAGCGTTGCAGCGTCAAAACCTGGTAGAGTAATGTAGATGATGCGAAAACCAGTTTCGAAAAAATCTAAGAAAGGCCTGCCGGCTCCCATCAAACATGATCTGAAGACCCTGAAGATCAGGATAATTTTGTACACCACGACTGGTCCATGTAAAAGGTATCCAACACATGTACAGTATTTTTCCTGCCAGGCGCACATGTTGTCCTCCTGCACTGGCCACTAATTAAGGAGGCTTTGAGCATTCCCAAAGTCAGATGTGAGACTGACTAGGTGGACGAACTCATCTTTCAAACTTACCCACAAATTGTGACACATATGCCTTCTTCCAAACTTTTGCATGTGGCCCAGCATGCAAATGCCCACGTGGTTGTGGGTCGAAACCAGGATACCTTGGTTGGCCTACCTGGGAGGTCGTTCGCTGCATGGTGTTGGCTGGGGCTCCAAGCTGCGTGGCCGCCGCTGCCGCTCGTCAACCCTTTCAGCAAGCCGCGTAGGCCACGGGAAGAGAAGATCTCGGGATTCCAGTTCAAGTTTAACCTCACTTCGAGAATGAGGTGAGTCAGGTCCCGAGGGTGAAGCGACAAGGTGAGGTGCAGCTATGTTTAACCGCTGAAGCGACAACTCCTCAAAGTGTGCCAGCTTGGTTGATTTGAAGGTCAAACGGCCCCATGATCCTGTGAATCTGGAAATCATAAGATTTGTCGTAAGCAGTGTTGGCATCCGCAAACGAGAATTATGTCATCCTCTCTTCAATCATTTATAATCTTGATGATCTGGAATCGTGGATTATCACTATATATTCGAACTTGATAGTCGCTTTGGTGTAAATTGGCACGGTTCCAAGAACGGCCCCGAAGGGGGGGAGCAGGCCCCAAACCCGTAACATCAAAATGACGGTGGCAGGACCAAAAGGTGGAGCTACTTCAAATAACTAGCAAAAACCTCACACCAGTCCATGTCCACTCCTACGCACCACACACCTGGTGCACTTTCGCGCACGCCCGAACAAAAAGACGAGCTCATGCTGAAAACGCGCTGCTGGCGCGTGGCTCACGCAGGCAAGGCAAATGTCTCAGCCACCTGAGACGTCTTCGATGTCCCTCACTTTGGGTGGTTGTGATGTCTCACACCCAAAAGAGATGGAATCCCGTCCATCCCGGTCCCAACAAGAATCTTGGAATTCATCACTACTTGGTGACACAAAAAGTGGGTACGAACAGGCTGGTACGAACAGGGAGGTGTCTGAGGTTGGGAGGCCCGTCCCTTGCCAAATCGTCGAATCTTGGAATCCAACCCTCTCATTCAGAGATGCCACAATGATTCAGAGGTGCGAACGGCACAACCTGGCAGTTCTGGCCACCTGTCAACTGAAGTGTAACTCTCGCCTGCCATGAGAAAAGGTGTCTCATTTCACCACCTTCAGCATTCAATTAGGTCACTTTCATGCGTGCCAAGTCGTTGGTGTCCAGAAACTCTTCGGCGTCGCCACCCCACCCCACGGTGTTCCACGCCGTTCCACGCCTCCCCAAGGGCTCTCCAGCCTTGCCGGACACATCGCAGTGTTTCAGCACCTCGGCGCGCGAGGTTGGCGTGTGAAACCGGTCCCGAGCACGGAAGACCTCGGCGTGGCAACGAGCGTCTGGGTTCGGTTCGGTAGTCTTAGACCAGTCTACCCAGCCAGGGCCAGAGGAGGGAGACCCCTATTCAAATACACGCCGTCGCAGATGTGCTTCAATTCCTGGCTGTTCATGAAAAGGGATTGATTTCTTTGGAGTTATTGGCCAGAAGCTGGCCCAACCCTCATCCCAAAAATGAACCGAACAAGGCGAGTCTCTGGTCATTGCTCTGAGGATGTATATTGTGTCACCCATGGGCCCATCAAAGGAAAGGCCCAAAACCGGTGAACCCTTGTTTTTGAAGGGAAGGTTGACGAGCCCAATCTGCCAAACATTCCAAGGACCACCTAAGGTTTTGAGGGTCTGGACATGCCAAGGACCAGGCGGGAGAATTCCACGGATTCTTGGAGCCCATTCCACATTGGGAAACATGTGTTCTGTCCCTAAAAAACTCCCTTTTAGAAAAGTCTCTGGATCATTTTCCAGAAGACTCCCCGGCTTGAAGAGATCAACGCATGCGCGTTAGTGTTCTCCCTACTCATGAAGAAACCTTAGCCTTGTCGGTGCCGAGTCCGCCATGGCCAGGATCTCATACCTATCCAGTTTGAGTATCTGAGAAGGAAAGTGTCATTGACCGGGGTATCGAGTTCTGAGTTCTTGCAGTTCTCTGGAGCACCTTGCCCCTGCACGCCCCTCGCGTTTTGGAGAGCCAGACTGAAAATCCAAGGTGCCAAGTGTGAAATGCCACATGTCTCACCTTCCAGGGCTCTCGCCATGCCTGAGTACATTGATGTACATTGTGGAGCTCGCGAAAAAGAAAAATGATGTACAACCCCTACAGTATCTAGGTGGTGTATACACGTATTAGTATGTCAGTGTGATACAACTTGTCCCTGCCAGTTGTGGATGTTGATATAAGCATCCCAACTACATACTAGTAAATGGAACGAGGTAAAGATCAGGCATCGAGTCGTGTTGCAGGGTTCTATCACAACACGGTCGGTTGCCTCTTCAGCTATATAACCTCAATGGTGAGGACTGACGGACCCTGTGGGCAGTACGTCCAAATATCTCAAGGAAGTAGCAGTGAACACCTCATTCGTAAGGGAAGCTTCTGCGTTTCCTCCGTCCAGATCCCAGCAGTCAACCAAGCCATGCGGATGAAACCGGCAATTGGATGAAATCCTTTGGGCCGTCTCCCTATGTTCAGAGAAGCCGATCCAACAGGACAAGATCTGGCAGGCTAGTTGGATATGTTGGATATTTCTGCCCAAAGGGCGTGCTATCCATTTGGATCTTGCTCTTTCAATGGCAGCTTTCAATGGCAGTTGATCCACTCCCACAAAAACTGTCGCCTTCCAAGGCATCTCCTGTCATCAGCTGCTCATTGAAGCTCAGGTTCAGCGTCTGCGGAAGAAGACATGACTCCAACCCGTTGGGCCTTCCATTCCAGAACATAACTAGTACAAGAAAGTTGAGACATGGTATCACAGCTCAACGTGTATCACAGTCAAAAGCTCCTTTTTCTTGAAACGCGATTTACTTGGTTCACTTTGGTCCAAATAGCTTGTATTAGCATGTGCGCCATGAGGATGAACTGCCATCTGCCCTCCCTGTCCTCCTACAGTTCTTCCCTGTGAATACACTGATAGTCCTGATAGCAAGTTGGGAACTCCATCATCTGAGAATTCCGACCCAAAATGCCGGAGTACGCGAGAAATGTCCTCCCACTGTCCCTCAAAAAAGCACGTATATACTTCGATATGATCCTATATACATAATATATAAGAATATGGGTGTGGGTCAAACAGGCAGACCTCCCAGTTCGACCAAGCAGCGAAATAGACCAGTCTGCCCATTGAACCAGTTGCTCTCCCTATTAAAATACAAAGCCATATGTGATCCCCCTGGACTTTAGAGCCAATTCAGCCCTTCCATAACCAGCTAACAGTTTCCACCGGACTTCAACGACCTCCGGGACTTTCACACCGGATCTGCGGGGTGGGAACCCACCCAGCCCGCCTCCAACGAAGGCATCCGCTTCAACGCACACAGCTGAGCCAAAGCGGGTGCTTCGGGCTTTGAGAGTTGGGCCGCACAAAGGTCCAAGAGCCTCGATTTCGAAGCGGCCGCGCCGCGCGGTCGCGCGGTCACGCCAGATGGAGGAGTCCCAGAAACGTGGTGTTTTTTCCAAGGAAACCGAACAAGAATGCCCTGGGTGTTTTTCCCAGCACCACAGAGTTCGGGTGGTTCTTAGATGGAAAATACCTCGGAAACCAGGTGTCTACAAACCACTACAAATCCGTGGTGCTGGTGCATATTATCCTACATCTAATAATGTAATAAACTAATTATACATATATGAGAGTCAAATCCCCTACAAGAAGGATGATCCTTCCCCAGGTTTTGGGGGGGCAGAAAACTCTGATCGTCCCGATGTTTCGACTGAACGGGCTGATCGGGATCCGGTGTTTGATCACTCTCCAAACCATCACCGGTGTAAACGTCCCACCAAGACGAACGGAGAGATCAAACCCCAAACCTTGATTGCGCCTCACAATGAGATTCGTTCGTAGTCTGGATCTTGCCCTACTGGGTGTGAACGTGGTCACCCCTGATGCCAGACCGTATCCTCAGTACCAATCAAAACACGAACAGGTCATCTTGACAGGTTGGATCTCGATGGAAACCCACGCCCCCTTAACCTGTTCGGATGGGTCCAACGTCCAAACTGACCAAAAAGAACGGCTTCGAGGCTCTTGGCAGCCGGTTTTTGTAGCCACCGCGGATTCTTGCTCCGTGATGTGTATGTGTGGCCTGTGGAGATGCTGGACTTCAACATGAATCAACACACTTGGGGGGATACTCTGAAGTCTTTGGTAGTAGGGTAGGGGTTTTGCAAAAACCAAGGCACCTTAATGGCAGTTGGCTGTGTCTCACTCCGCGTAGAATGCTGCCAATGCCCGGGCTGCGCAGAAAGTCTAGCGGTTTGCGGTTGAAGCGGTTTGCGATTTGCATCGAAGGAGGTGAGAACTCCCAAAACTGGATGGTCACCTCACCATCCCCGAACTTCAAAAAACCCAAATCAACTTCCAACTTCATGCATGCAGGTGAAGTTTAAGATCCATCCTCATGGAAGTGGTTCTGTGGTTCCTCCGTTCCGCCCTCACACTCCATGAAAGTGCCGAACTCGAGGAGTGAAGACGTCAAAGGTTTTGAACACATCAACGACATCAAGTACCCCCGCCTTTGATGACCCTTTCCAGAGACTTCCCCATGAAAAAGCAATGCAAAGCCAAAGAATCAGCCAGTTGCACTGCCGGTTCCACCGGTTCGACTGTTGACGGGACTGATCGACGGAACGGTTCCAGCGCGGCCTTTGCACTCTGCGAGCCGAAGGCTGTGGCCTTGAAATCTCGGCAGCCAGCAGCCCAGAGCAAAGCCTATCAGCCCAAGTTGGTTGGAAAGTTGGAAAGTATACACGTCATTGCATAAAGTTCGATACTTCATGACATGTCCATTGATGTTTCAAGTACTTGGTTCGTCAGGTGCAAATGTCCTTTAGAAGTGTCCAATGGTGGCCCATGTCGCTCTGGACGTTTGCCGACAATGTCGCTCGTCATCGACTCGACGTTGGTTCGGTTTTCCAAGTCGGTTCGAAGCTGAATCCTGGGTGTGGGCCTTGTGGTGAGATCAAGTATAAGTACGCTCTCTACTCTCTGCGATCTTCTGCGCTCTCGGCCTTGTGATGCTGCAAGCCCCATGGAGTCGCTGAGATCAAGCATTTCAGCCTCGCGGTGTAGCAGCAGAGCCAGGTCGGGTCCCCTTCCCGGTGAAGAATCGGTCTTGAAAGACCATGAGTTGGGGCCAGACCTGTTCATCTCGGCCAAGCTGCTCTGGCATTTCGAGGCTCTGCACCAAAGATCTCAACCAGGTATCGCACCTCCACATCTGTCAGATTCGAGGTCCTTGGTCCACACAAGGACACGAGGGGGATTCACTGGAAACCCAGCAGTCGGCTCCAGTGACTTTCTCCCATGTCCTTGCAAACCAGCTACCAAACGTTTGATGCCTACAGGCTGTGGAATGCTGTGGAGATTTGAAAGGTCCCCACATGTTTCGAGCGCTCAAAATCTCAAACACACCGGCACTCCACAACTGGCACTCGGCGCAACCCTACGAATCTTCCGTCTGTCACACCCCCAATGTTGGGTCGAAACCGCCCCGGTCCAACGTTCCGTTTTCTGCGCTTCTTCGCCTCACCTGATCCTCTCTCCCATCAGGTCATCCAATGGCAACCTGCGAACCCGGCCCCGTCGGACGTCGTCCCCGGTCCCTCGTCCCTCGACGTGGAACGTCCTGCGTATCCAGGGACAAATGCGACGGACGGACCGGGCGCCAGGCGCTCTGAACAAGAGATCACCAGGAACCAAGGGCCCTGGGTGTGGGAACAATGTTGCTGAGGAACTCCAGATGAATGTGCTGAGAACTCCGCTGTGAACAAGAAGGGAGTGGACTATGATAGCTGGCCGGCGCCACCTATCCGGGAATTCATTAGAAGAAAGACCAGGGATCACGCTTTTCATGATGCAACTCGCCAGACGTTCCCGGCGGTCTCCGCCTTCTCAACTTCTGGCAAATGCTTTTGATAGCCATTCGCAACTTTGGCGCATGGTGTACCTGCCGACCAGGACGCTTGGGCTCTACATGGCAAGCATGAGGACCACTTCGAAGTTTCCTGAAAAAGTTCTACTTCGCAGCAATTGGTCAGAAAAATGGACCATTTTGGTGTTGCACCTCGGTACCGCCGAAGCAGGATGAGATGGATGATCATATCGTGTTGTGCACAGGTCGTGGCCTCCTCAGCTTCGTGGCCTCCTCAGCTCTTCCCTCTTCCCTGCCTGCTCCAGCAGGCCCGGCGCATGCCAGCGACGCCAGCGGCACGCACACTGCAGCGCACGCCTCACGGCTCCGGCAGTCCGTACTGTGAAAGCTCTGAGGTGGCTTCGTACGGACCTTTTTTCAGCCAAAATGGAGGGACTTAGGGACCCCACCAACCCAGAAAGGTTGGAAAATCGCTCCAGTCGAGCGCTTTTCCAAGGCGAGGCACCAGTCCAAAGGGTCCGGCAGCAGTTCAAGCAAGCTCTCCACGCCATCCTGAAACCTGGATCGCCCCGGTCACCGAGGTCCACATGAATCACCAAGGGGGATGGCTGGGAAGAATTCCGGAAGAATGCCGTGCTTTCTCTCAAAGACAAAGATTTTTACTAAGACATACTAAGACTATGTGGATCAACCACGGTTTCTTATTGAGAAGTCCATTTCGCGTGGCCAGTGTGGGACAGTCAACTATCACCCTTTGAAGTATATAACAGCTAAACAACTTTGGAGGAAGGAAACTATCACCCTTTCGGTTTTTGGCGACCAAGACTCGACACAAGTGTCGCAAACAGACTTTCGGACCAGAGCTTTCCGGGCTTTCATTCTGGAAAAAAAAAACTGTTGTCCTAGTCCTGGTAGTATGTGGTGCCCTATGGGTCGAAGAAGTGATTCTTTAAGGGCCTCAAGATGGTGACCTTCGAGCAGATCAGGGGTTTCGCTGCATGCAGGAACAGAATAGCTTCGAAGCGTGGGTGCTTTTGCAGAGGAAGGGTGCCAAACCATGTCGTCTTTAGCTGGGATGTTGTTGAAGCGGCGAAGCGGACCTCAGCTGTCTCCGATGGTTTCAGTGTTGGAGAAGATGAAACTACGGACCTCAGCTGTGTAACGATCTGTCGACTTTCAAGAGGAAGCCCGTCAAGAGGACTGAAAACGCCTGTCAAACTGGGCCACGTCACAGGAGCGGCGCTACATCCAGCCACTTCGACGTCATCATTAAGCCATGGCTTGACCAGAGGCCATGGTAAACCACAGTTGAATTGGTCGGTCATCCATGGTCTCCTTCAGGTACTCGAAGCTGGTCAACCATGTCTTTTTCTCTCCCCAAGCAAAAGGGGCGAGCTGAGCTAGTTTTGAGCTACAGAAATGCGAGCACTTCATGCATCAGTTGGATTCCGTTCTTCCATACCGTGACCTGCTTCCGTTCACACTGCACATGATCGAGGGGACTCAGTCACCAGTCGCGTTCCTCTCAACGCAGCCTCTCTAGGTGTCAAACCTCTTTGGGCACTCGAAGCTCAGTAAAATAGTAGTCCTGAGAGGCCCAGCGGCATTTTTCGGAGGTTCGACTTGAGAGGCCCCTCTCGTTCCCCCGATCGGGAAGTGCCCTTTTGCAAGCGTGCGAAGAAAACCTATCCACAGGTGGTCTCCCAAAAAAGGCCCCCATCGTACTGAATGAAGACGTAGCATACAAAACTGGAGAACGTTCTTTGCTAGTCAGGTCTGGTGGTTCCTTTCACCTCGACCATGTCTCTCGGATCTATGAGAAAGAACCTCGATTGCCAGGAGCCCAGCCGGCAGCGGAAAGAACCGCAGGATCGGCCTCGCTTGCCGCGAAGGATCGGCGACAAACAGCGAGCCGTTTCTGGATCCAAACCTTTGGATTTGATCCAAAGCAAACGAAGCTCAACGGTCTGTTTGGTCCATCCCTCTCTCAAGCAGGCAATGCCTCATCAAGAATTCCGGATCGCTGAGAAGGTCATCGTTGTGACCTTGATGACAAGTAAGGCTTGCTCGGGACCAGCTTGAGATTTGGATTCCTTCTGTAGCACTACTGTATAAATCTGTATATGTTGTTTACCTCTATGCACACAAGCGTTGCTCAAAAACGAGTATGTTCTCACCGTCATTCTCAGTCTTCCCTCAGCGATCGGCGAGCAATCCCTAAGTCCTGGACTGAGAGTCGTATCTCTTCAAATATATTCGGAGCCCGCTTCAGAGCTGACAGTCTCCGGCCGCTTGGCCTTTCCTCTGGGTGAACAAAACCGACATCTGCTGAGAAGTGGACCCATCTCTTCTGGACAAACAAAAAGCTTTTTTCTGCCTCAGTCAAGACTCCTTTCGTGTCATGGAGTAATGCACAGATCACGCACATGAATCCACAGAAACGACGTTCCTTGCAGGGAGCTCTGAAATTAAAACGTCACATCTTCAATCTCTTCAGCCTTCCCAGTTTCTCACAAAACCGGCTACCAAAAGAAACCGACTGCGACGTCACCGGAAGTACATGGAAGTACTGACTGCGTCGCCAAGTGACTTGGGCAGGTTTCGAAGAGTTGCTGACCTGACGGCGTTGCGGGGCGGCTCGGGACGAGGCGAAAGCCGACGGAAAGAGGTGGAGGAGGTCGAGGTCCGGGGGTGCCTTGTTGCCACCGTTTTGACAATTCGTCCAGTCGTCAGAGCGCTGTTCAAAGGTTCACCTGCGCCGGTCATTCCGGTCATTCCGCTCGTGCCCAGCAATGCCCAGCATACACAAAATAGAGTCAGCCTCCAAAAAGTGAGCTCCACCCTCTTGCCACAAAGAAGTCCAAGCTTCGGTTGTCCCCGCCCCATCCAGTGACCCCCCTCTTCGAAGCAGTGAAATGTGTTCTTTTTGGGGCACCTGGGCATCATCATTACCATGTGGGAGTTGCCCCCAGGGCGATTCATCGAACTTCACCCGGCGCAGTTGACTGCAGCTCACCCACCCGCGACTCGCCCCCAACGCTCCACCCGCCTTGAGAGCAGTCGATGAGTCGATCTTTTCGGCCATGGATCACGAGGGTTGGCACCTTCCAGGCGTCGCGCGTCGGCGCGGAAAAAGACGAGGAGCGGCCGCCAGCGAGGCGAAGAAGACCCGAGTCCGCAGCGAGAGTGAGAGGCCACAGGGAAGTTGTTTTTAGAGTCGGTTACCACAGGCCAGTATAACTCAGTGTCTCTTGAGATCTCTTGAGTGTGTCTTAGAACCCTCTCACAAAACATCCAAAAAAACTGCAGTGTTCAGGTCACGACTCTCATAAATCAGGATCCCCGGTGGTTCCTGCCGAACAAAAAATGAAACACAGAACGCGCAGCTTTTCTTCATTGCTTCTTTGTCTGGCTCGGCAGCATCTCCTCGTGAGGTCAAGGAGAAAAAACTGGCAAGTTGGTGAGGGGAAGAGGGGGAGCACCTTTCTGCTCACAGAAAGGACCGATAGGGGGCCTTCATCAATGCTTCAGCACGTTCAAACATGCTAATGCTTAGCAGTCTCCTGAGGACTCTGTGTTGCTGCCAAAGAGCTTCGCGTGCCATTCCTGCTTGGCCGGATCTGCCCACAAATGAAGAAATGCAGAGTTCCAGACCAGCTAGCGGCTCATATTCAGTACTGTGTAACTCTTCAATTGTTCCCAACTCTTCAACTCTCCATACCCACCGAGGCCCTGGCTTCAGGCTCATCTGCCACACAAAACCTCAGCTTCAACACAAGCTCCGAACTCGCCCCGGTGGGTCGACCAGCTCGCCTTCCATAGGCCCAGACCAGCTTGCTCCGGTCGATGGGGACCTTACATCGAAGCGACGAACGCAGCTGAGCGATCTGCGGACGGTGCGTGGTTCGGGGTCAGCAAGTGTTTTCTGACATTTGCGGCACATAGGCAGAAAGCATAGCACATGGACAGAGTTGCCCAGCACACGGCCTCCTCTGTGTGCCAAGTGGAGTTGAGCTGTCGTCATGCAAACAAAGACGAAACAATGAAACTGAGTGTGCAAATGTTTCTGTGGCGGATCTGGAGTGGACAATGCCAATGATGCTGGTGATGCGTCTTCATACCTTGTAATTATTATTGAGCATCACATCTTCCATGTGAAAAAAGTGCTCTTGCCACAGTCGTGGTCTGTGGACTCTTCAATTGATTAAGCCTCTTTTTAGGGTTGGTGAACGTTGTGGTCAGCAACCATCGTCAGTCGAGCCAGGTCCCTGCAGCGTCAGGTAGCCGTGTTGTGCCAAGGCTCCAAGGGAGTGCAACGAATGAGCCGCCAAATCAGCAACACACCGCCCTGCAAAGCACCATATCGCTTCACCGCCTCGATGCCATACCTGTCGAAGCATTCTGTCCAGGGGGCTGACCAAATCGGTGTGGGATTCGGCCCCTCCAATCTGACAAAAGGTGAAAGGGAAGTCTAAAAGGAACAAGGTTGCATAAATGTTCATCCCGAAATAGCTTTCAATACTTTAACCCCTTTGCACGAACTCCCCACCCCACCACAGCAGCCACCGCAGGATCACCCCAGAATCTTCCGGAACCGACCTGGAGCAGCTGGGCGCGTATCGGCAATTGGGCGGCAGCAGCGGCGAGATGAATTGCCGGTACAGGCGCAAGGCACCCAGGACGATCTGCGAGTCCCAGCCCAAACGCTCGTCTTGACCAGCGACGGAGCGTGCAACACAGTCCTCTTCGTCCTCAACGCGTCAGCCCGATGACTCAAAGTGGCCAAGATCTTGGGGTTCTACACTCCGGGCTGGTATGAGAATGACTTGGAGTTGCAAGTCCTTGGCATTTCAGCCCACCCGATGGAACTCTTCATTCAGCAATTGCTGCTGTGAAGAAGATTAGAAGCAGGCAACTGCAAAGTATTCTGATGCCATATGTCAGTTTTTGAAAGCTTCATGTATAGTAGCTACGAAAGCCTCATGTATATAGGTTGTTTCTTGACTGGAACCGTGACGCCGTAAAGGTACAGACTTTGTGCCAGCATAGAGCACGTGTACTAGTTCTAAAAACTATATCTGAGGTTGGGTTCTACCAACTTGCGTTAAATATGCTTCGGCCCCGTGGTGTGCAAGCTCAAGGGTCTTCATCCTGACTGGAGTAGTTGGCGGCAGTTGGCTTGTCTCAATATGAGGGTCTCATCCTTCTTACTGGTCCTCTTTCACTTAGAGTTCAGGGCTGAGATTCCTTCAGGCGTGCTAACAGTCCCAAATCGAATCTCCGGTCTCCTCTTCAGCGCCTCGACGTCTCACACGACGGCCACCGCGAAGGACCCAAGCAAAGAACAGCGCGCGGACCGTGACAGGGAGCAGGGGAGTCCATCTTGCAGGAGCCTGGCGGTTTTTGATCTTCTTGAAGAAGAACCCAAGATTTTCTGGGATTCAGGGATTATATACCCCTATCTGCTGCAAATACCCACACTCTAAACCGTGGATGCACAAGGATTGGGTGTTTATCCTGTAGGGTCTCCCCAAACTTCACAAGATTCGTTCCACCCACAAAGCAGCTAGGTGCAAAATACAGCGGACCATCTAAACATATCTAAACCCACCTTCGCTGCAATGACAGTACGGCTCAATCAACTAAAGGCAGCAGCTGGGGCATGCCCATCCGAAGAGATTTCCAGTCGCAAATTCTGCCTGTTTGGGTTCCAAAACTCTGCCCATGCCCAGCCAGGCCTAGCAAGGGAGGGTCCCAGTCGCTGTCGATCGTCGCTGTCGATCGCGACGATGACACGCCCTGAAAGCATCCGAAGATGCGATTCTCATCGATGACGCTGGCACCCCTACTTGTCTTAGACAGATGAGGGTCGAGGCTCCAGATGTTCGACTCGGACGCTCCACCTCCGTTCAGCCCGGACGCCACCCGCTTCCGTCGCCTGCGGGTGCCGCGGTGCCGCGGCCACTGCGCGGGGTGCCGCGCGGCGTTCCGCCGGGGTTCGCCACGACGGCGCCCTCCAAGCGCGCAACGGCTCCATGGCGGCAGGGCGGCAGGAGTCCGAGGTCGTCGACCACGCATGTGGCCACGCTGGGATTTCCCACTCGCAGTTGGGATGAAATAGGGTTCTTACCCAAAATGACTCTCTCTCTCTCTCTCTCTGGTGAGTGGATCGCAATGGGACCTTCTTGCAGCCCTTCTTGTGGCACGTGAGCAGCAAGAGTCTGGTCACTGGTCACATCTTCTCTGTCTGGTCAAGCCTACTTTGGCTTCTGTTTCATGAAGTTCATGTGGAGGCTCAGGATGGCTGAGAGCCAAACACCTGCGGCAGAATGGATATGCATTTGCTCGTTCACGTGCTTGTGGAAAGCAG